TCTAAACCTACTCAAGCTATTAGCAGCATACTTGATCACTACTAACCTCCTGTCTACTTTACTAATATTAAACTACCAAATCAACTTATTACTGATCCAGCCCAAATAAAGCACCATATCCAAATGCATTTTTCTAACTAGACTGTCTACAAACCTATTAACCAAACTCTTTTTGACAACTTCTGGCAACAATATTATCATCCCCTCTTCTACATTAATACTAACTAGTATACACCACTCATTGTACTAATTATAGAAGATGAAGTCTTCTAAACTATCTCAAAACTATCTAATAGCAAAGCCTGCAAACCTACAGGCATTAGCTATAAAACGATTAAACATCTTAGCTATTATGGTATATTAGCTTTTACTGTATTATTTAATCAGTGCCTTATCCAGAATTCTGTACCATAACTATGGAAACATGGCAGAATCTATCTCATCTCAAAAAACAATGCATTTGATAATAATTTAAATCTAACTTAACCTATTAGCCTAATCGAACAAATTATACCAAAATACTAACCAATAGACTAAACTCTATTTTTTTTTTGTATTCTATTATTTCACCCTTTAATTATATTGCCCTACCAGGCAACAGTACATCTATTCTAATTCATATTCTCAACAATCTTATTAAGGATGCAAACTGCAATTACAAAGAATTATAGCTATTATCTCAGAATATGAGTAAAACCTATAATTTAGTTAATTTTAACTTTTTTTAATACACCCTTCACCATCTATATATTCCTTAATCTATTATTAATATACTTTTAGACTTATTTAATAATCGCTACAATGAAATCATAACCAATCTTGACTTGATACACTTATACCATGTCCAAAATAGTATTGATCAAGAAGAGACAATTACTTTTTTGCTATAGCAAATTTATTAGATCTACTTATAACCTATATACACTCATCCTTCTTTGAATACCCAATTACAACTACATAGCCTACCAATCTTAAAAAATTTTATACTAACAAACTTAAAACTAATTGCTTTGTTTTGGCATATATAGATAATACTCTTTGGGTCACATCTAGCCAAACAGAGCTAGCTAATATTCTTTCTGTGGCTAAATCTTTTTATAATATAGCTAATATCAAAGTTAACCCAACCAAATCAATTCCAACCTCTAATACCAAACCTAGTACCTACTCTTCTATTCTCTTCAACAATGAAATACTTCTTCTCTAGCTATCGAATAAACCATTCAAGTTTCTTGGCTGTTGGTTTACTCTTAATAACAAACATACTAAACAAACTCAACTCATCTTAGCTAAATCCTCTTAGCTAACTAAAATAGTTTGCACTAAACAAATAACAGACAATCAAGCCCAATATATTATTAATATAGTTATTATTTCTACTTTAGAATACAGACTTTATAATATTGTACTTAGCTAGTCTGCCTGTGACAAGATCTTTAGGCAATATATTAATCTTGTTAAACACAAAGCCAAGCTTTGCCATACTATCTTCACTAGCATTTTACTTTATCCTTACATATATAATATTAAAAACTTCTAGAATATACAAGCTCCAATACCATATTCCTAACTTCATTAAATACCTGAATAATTATTCTTTTCTTGATATTTTTACCCAAATCTAAATCTAACAACTTCAAAACAACCTCTAGTCTCTTACCAGTATTTTATTTTACCCTAACTTTTTTATTGATAGCTCTAACTAGCATACTATTAACTTCAGAATTATACAACTCCTCCAACATATAAACTGGACTATTAGCCCAAGCCCACATATACCTATACCTGTTACAATTCAAGAGGGATTAGTTTCTCTTGAATTTATTTTATCTTTCCATCCCAAATACTCCATCTTTAAAAAACAACTATGCTATTATCATATCCTTTTTCTAAATCAACTTACCTCTACTAATAATTTCTATCTTCTTGGATGACAACACATTTCACCACGGCTCAACAAAATTTCTAAAGAGAAAATTCCTCTGTAGTTCAAATCTCTTGAAAACTCTATTATTACTTCTCCACATAGTTGCTCTATCTCTGTACACCTTAACCTGTCTTTTACTAATTACTATAGCTATAATACTAGCTATTTTCACAAGCATTCCAAACCTTGGCTTATATTACTACATAATAATCAAATTATTATTGGCAAAACCTGATGCCAATCTTCAAATTCTGGACACACACTTATAACTCACTAGCAATGCAATCTTACTAGCTTCTTCTCCTTAACATACTCTATTCCTAAAATAATTACTGAACTATCTTCTAATTGCCCCCTCAACTCCAATTTTATCTAAAACAAATATATTATTCTTATTTCAACTAGCCATGTTGCCAAATTTCTAGGAAAACTAAACTCTGACAAATTAATAAACTTCAATGCCAACCTACTTGATCTTATATACTCCATCAAACTTTACAATATTACTCCTATTCTAATATTACTCAATCTTACTATACTATTTTGATAGACGTTTTAATTTTTCTCTAACTTTGAGCAAAAATATCTTGACAACCACCTGATCAATTTCAATGAACTTTTTTTTATTTGAATTTTATGAATTCATAGAATGCAAATAAAAAAAAACTCTTTGAATTTGGTTAAGAGAGTGTCAAGATATTTTCGCTCAAATTTAGAGAAAAATCAAAACATCTATCAAAATAGAAGCTGCGCCAAAATTTTTTTAAAACTTTGAATGAAGATATCTCGACAACCACCTGATCAAATTCGATGAACTTTTTTTATTTGAATTCTATGAATTCATAGAATGCAAATAAAAAAAACTCTTTAAATTTGGTTAAGTGAGTGTCGAGATATTTTCGCTCAAATTTAGAGAAAAATCAAAACATCTATCAAAATAGAAGCCGCGCCAAAATTTTTTTAAAACTTTGAATGAAGATATCTCGACAACCACCTGATCAAATTCGATGAACTTTTTTTTATTTGAATTCTATGAATTCATAGAATGCAAATAAAAAAAAAAGCTCATCAAATTTAGTCAAGTGAGCGTTGAAATATCTTCGTTCAAAGTTTAAAAAAAATTTGGTACAGCTTCTATTTTGATAGATGTTTTGATTTTTTTCTAACTTTGAGTGAAAATATCTTGACACTCACTTGACCAAATTTAAAGAGCTTTTTTTTTATTTGTATTCTATGAATTCATAGAATTCAAATAAAAAAAAGTTCATCGAATTTGATCAGGTGGTTGTTGAGATATTTTCGTTCAAAGGTTTAAAAAAATTTTGGCAGCTTCTATTTTGATAGACATTTTAATTATCTCTAACTTTGAGCAAAAATATCTTGACAACCACCTAACCAAATTCGATGAACTTTTTTTTATTTGATTTCTATGAATTCATAGAATTCAAATAAAAAAGTTCATCGAATTTGGTAAGGTGGGTGTTAAGATATTCTTGCTTAAAGTTTTAAAAATGTTTATTTTTAATAGAGAGGTATGAATAACAAATTTAGGGGGTATGAATAACAAGTCCCTATATATAGTATATATATTATATAGTAAAATTATATTTAAATATACTATTTGACTAATTTAATCAGCACAGATTCTTTGACCAGACCAGTCAAATTGGTCAAATTGGTCCAGTCCAATAGTCAAACTGGTTTGGTTAAGCCAACACTAATTATAATATATACAACCTCTTATTTACTTCAATGACCTAAAACTATTCTCTTGAACTCTTTATCTGTCATAGTATCTATACAATATATTATGCAAAAATCTTCGCTCTCTGGTCAACTCAAAATTACTTTCAAAAATAGACAAAAATCTCTCAACATATTAACTGAAATACAACTTGGCTCTATCTTAACAATAATCAAAAAGTTATTAACTTTGCTTATAGCTTCTAGTCCTTTGCTCTTAAAATATTCAGAGTTAAGCTTCTTGCTGATGAACTGCCTACACCTCATACTTTGCACAAAAGAAACCCCAAATACTTGTCACATATGCTAGTAAACTAGTACTTTACTACACTGGGCTATTTGCTCTACCTCAACTTTTTTATATAAACTTATTACTAACTTACTACAATATTGTTTAACTCCTAATAAATACCAAATCTCTACTATACAAACTAAACAGCTACATAATTTAATTTTCAATCTTGATAGCTTCCAAATACACCTTTTCTCAAACAACCTTCTATTTTTTTTACACTTTCTAAACTTATCCTCTTTAACATTATACAAACTATACATAAATTTACTACATTGAACCAAATAGCCAATTCAATTACAATATAGCTTCTCTTTTACATTAATAAGCAACTCTATACAAATATTTGAATTCCCTATTGTAGCTCAAGATCTACATCTCAACTCTTATCTTTACTAGCAATCTTATTACTTAAATTTTTGCACAATACACATCCCTATATAGTTACTTCTAACAGTACTATACAAATATTCACACTTAGAGTATTATTATAGTACTCTGACTAGATTAAACTTTGCATACATCCTTCACAAATACTTAATCTATCTGAAATTTAGATGAGCTTTGGCCACTCTGGTAGGTTTAGGCTGCAGATAAAACACTGGATTTGCTTTTATTAAGTACTTAGTCTAAGTTCTTATTCTTAGTACTAAACTTAAAATATAAAATCTTTTCTAATCAGTGGCTTAGCAATTTTATATATATTTACTAAGAAAAAGCCAACAGTACTTCAGATGCAAAGCATCTTCCTTTCAGGAGATAGTGGCTTATCTGAAATTTACCAATTATTATCATTATGTGGGTATTAAAATTTAAATAATTACGATTTTTTGATATGTTGCATGATGCATGATCTATTTCAAGTACATTACAAGCATATGATTTAATTTTTCCAGCAATTGGGTTGTATGACACCCACTATTTGAGATTGCCTGGTCCGAGATAAACAAATTGAGATATACAAATCTGAGGCATACAAATTCAGTTAATTATACTATAGATTTACACCAGTTAAAGTATAGTTGAAGTGTGGTTAGAATGTGGTTGGTAAAATAATTAATTATACAATATATCGTAATATAATATGGATTAAAGTGTAGTTAAAGTATTGTTGAAGTGCGGTTATGATAGTCAGAAATATACTTATATGTTATAGACACTAGCTCTGCTATAAAACAAACCAAAAAATCTCCATCAAACCCAAATATTGAAAAATAGTTGAATGGACCGATTCTCAAATCCGTGTACTTATTGATAAGCATAGAAATAGAAATGATGAATATCATAATTTTGAAAGGAATCGAATCAGATTTTGGGATAGCATTGCAACCAGAATTAATCAAGAGCATAATATGAGCTTTAATGGGTATCAATGCAAAGAAAAATTTATGAATCTTGTTCAGGATTACAACGTAAGTATGGTATAGTAAGAAATTTATCAGGATCAGATTTTTTTTGCTTATGTTTAATAATTCATGTCAATTAGTTGATGTGCGATTATATAGCAGGGAATCGAAGAGCATGAAGAAGCCGAACAGGTGTACAATATTTTGATGAATTCTGTATACATTTTTAGAAGAGGCCTGAAGATGAATTCGATAGAATCTGCAATATTAATTCCTCAAACTATAGGCAAAATAGAGATGTGAGAAATACAATACCAGCACCATCTATTGAGGAAGTTAAGCATGTATTAAGTATGAGATCTTCCGTTAGACGAATAAACTGGTCTCCATCTATTAGTAGAAGGAGTCAAAGATATTCACCTTATCCTACTTTAACTCATGATAGCACTAATATAAACAACCTCAGTATAAGAAATTCTGAGCAAAATATTAGCATTTCCCTACCTCCAATTGAAATATTATCTCACCAACCACTACCTTATTCATGGGCCACAGATGAAGCACAAAATAGCCAAGACAGTTCTAACTACGAAGTAGCTGTCTCCAGCAGTAATATAATACCTGATTTGCTAAATTTATCCTTATCACAAAATGAAAGTGATGCCATTATGCATGAGATAGGTAGTCAACCACTCTTCTATATGGAATCAATAAATGAAGAGGAAAGATAAAGATCCTCGATCACTTTTCTTTATTAATAAAAATAGTACAGTTATGACACTTCGAGTCACCCTATAGGCCTGCTATATACATGTAAATCTATCTGCTAATTTTTGATAAACTTTGTTATATGATACATCACGTGATTTTTGACAACATAAGGTCGCTGAAATTTTACCAAGAAAAAAATGTCTGATCTGTCTAGTAATAAAATCGACTGTATAATACAGATGTTCGATCAACATATTACACATTACCAAAGAAGAAAATCAAAGATCATAGAACTTCTGCATATATGATATAATCATGTGACCACTTGTTAGAAAAATAATTTATTTGGTATAATACAACTTAACGGTCCCACAGGTCTGTACGCATAAATTCTGTATCCCTAACAGCTTCTAGAGGCCATCGGAGCATAAACTGAGTTCAAGATTTTTATATTTTATAATAATAACGAGTGATAAAATCTTGATTGGTTTTAATAATCAATAGCCTGCATTAAATTTTATGTGGTATTATCTTAATTTCTCACAGTTAATTTTTTATTAAGTTAACAAATAGCACTAATATGAATAGCGTCTAGAACCTTTTCTTACCTTATATATTATCCTGCAATAAGAATGGGACTTAAAAAGGCTATAAGGGTAATGAGTATAATGTTCTTTATCAGTATTATTAAAATTCATATATTGCAGAGATTTGGAATCTCCGCATCTCCGAGATCTTCAGATCAAAATCTACCTTAAGTGATCGTCAAATCTAAGGAGGTTAATTTTACCAGAAAAATAACAAAATAGATTCAGTGTTTGGAACTTATGACCAAGCAGAGTTGCTTTATTAAGTGTGATCTTAGGTAATATAATTATAAGTCATATACGCCAATTTGTAAAATTGGGCCTTTTTTAAAATTTCCAACAAATTTAAATTAGGTCACCAAACTTATTAAGTTATTATGACACAGGGTGGCCATCAAAATTATGAGTCACATGATGCTATTTATAATAATGCCCTGGTTATATCACGTTAAATTAATCTTCTTACTCTTAAGCTTTATATTTTTGAGCTTTGTATATACTGTCGATATATATACTATAGTAAGTAATATTAGTTTTAAAATAATGTATTCTTATATATTATTAATGTTAAAATTTTTGATTTTTTTAGTATACAATGCAATACAATTCTGCTTTAACATGTGTTTCATGCTCATTATGTCAACATAAAATTTTTAAAAATGACAGAGGCTTGCGATTATATTGGCAAAGAGTTCACCAAAACAAAAATAGCAACTATTCTAATCAAACACATACCAATACCTCTATTTGCTCATGTGTTTTCTGTGTTTTGTGTCCTAAAAAAAGTTACAAAAACCAAAAAGGTTTAAGTCGTTATGAAACTATAGTTCATTCACATTATAATACACCACGAGCTGGGCTTATTCCACAACCATTAGAAGTAATTATTGAATTTAAAAACATATTAATTTACATGATACAAATTAAGCTAAAAACTAGTGCAAAAGAAGCGAGACAGCAAGTAATTACAATGCCATGTCTTGAAAGTCAATTCATTGGTGT